GTGTGTGTGTGTGTGTGTGTGTGTGTGTGTGTGTGTGTGTGTGTGTGTGTGTGTATCTCTATCTACATAGGTGGTACAGTGGATAGAGTGCCAGGCCTGGAGTCAGGAAGACTCATTTTCCTGAATTCAAAACTGGCCTCAGACTCTTACTAGCTGTGTGATCCTGGGCAAGTCCCTTAACCCTGTTTGCCTCAGTTTCCCCACCTATAAAATGAGCTGGAGAATGAAATGGCAAACCACTCTAGTATCTTTAACAAGAGAACTCCAAATGGGGTCATGAAGGGTTGGATACAACTGAAAAATGACTAAACAACAATAATAACACACATATATGCGTGCATATATCTATGTGTGCAATCCACAAAATAGATACGAGGTAATTTGGGAGGGAGAGGCATTAGCAGCCGTGGGGATCAGGAAGACTTCATATAGAAAGTGACTTTTCAGCTTAATCTTGAAAAGATAAAGAGTTTTAAGGAATTGAAGGAGAGAAACACATTCTAGGCAGGGGCTATGGTCAATGCAAAGGCAGAGAGATGGGAGATGTGGTGTCATGTAGGAACAACAGCAAAAACTAGTTTGGCAGTAGCATCTTATGTGTAGAGGGGACTATAATGGGATAATTCTGGGAAGGTAGGTTAGGGCCAAGTTATTAAGGGATGTAAATGCTTAACAGAAGAGTGTGTATTTGATCTTGAAGTCAATTAGGAGCCACTGAAGTTTACTGAGAAGGGGAGTTACATGATTAGATTTGAACTTTAGGAAAATCAGTTTGGCAGCTGTTTGAAGGATAGATTAGAAAGGGGAGAGATTTGAAGCAGTGAGACCAATAATATTAGGGTCATGGTCTCTTACTACATGTACCAGACAGTTTCCCTAGTGGTATTGCTGATTAGAACTCTTTGGTGCAGCATATGGTAGCAGCAAAGTATAATAGAAATAACACTGACTACAAGATTCTAGTCTGCTCCTAGCTATATCGCCTTGCGCAAGTCATTTCCTCATCAACAAAATGCGGTTGGAAGATGAACTATCTCTCATGATATTTAGAGGTGGAAGGGGTTTTTGAAGTCCATCCAATGCAACCCCCTCATTTTACAGCAGCTGAAACTAAGGCTTGGGAAAGTAAAGGGGCTTCCCTAAGATCATGAGCTGGGATTTGAACTTGTGTCCTTGGTCTCTAAATCCAATGAGCATTTTGTTAACTGCTCTTCTTCACACACACACACACACACACACATGCATACACACACACACTGCTTCTTAATAGACTTTTTTTTAAGATTACTTTCTGGTTCTCAATGGCTATGACATTAAGAATTAGCACAAAAAAGGCCAAATGCAAATATGACAGTTGACTAGAGTGTGACTAAATCCCTTAGTGACCCCAAGCTTCATGAGAGAGGGCTCTCTCTCTGTGGGTGAAAAACTCACACATTTTGGGTCATCTGATTTTATATGACTCTTGTCCATCCTATAAATCCTCTATAAAGTATTTGCAATTTTTTTTCTTCTTGGAAGCTATATTAGTAGAAAATGTTCCTCACCAGGAATCCTTCTCACTGATGAAATCACAGGTTCCATTTAAAAAAGAAATATTGGGGAAAACAGGAAGATCAAAGAAGATATTGGGCCATTGTGCTGTTCAGGGTGGATGAGTCTGATAGAATACAAGCTCTTCGAGTACCAGAACTGTGTTTATTTCTGAATCACTAGTGCCTAGTACAGTACTTGGCATATATTTAAATAGAGCTGATTTCACTAGTGTAGATATTCTCTCCACTGATGCAGATTGTAACCCTCTGTTTCTGCCTATCTTGGATGGCTCTTGACCATACCCTTCCATGAGTTTGTCACCCAGGGCCCACCCTGTGTACTAGGATGGGGGGGATGTTCTTCTTTACTTTCTTCTAATATCATGATGATATTAGTGGAGCACATGAATTATCCATCAGTTATCTTTTGCTCTCAGCACTTGGCAGGCTTATCTTTTTCAGTTTCTTTGATAATCTACTTTACTCTGGTTTTTCTTTGTAGTTCCTTATTTGATATGGGGCAGCCTTCTTACACTCACTATTTGTTTTTTCTTTGCCCTCTGAATGATACTTATTTTAAGTTCTTCAGAGACTATTGTATTATTGAGGAAATCCAGTACAGGATTCAAGTTGAAAAGGTGTTCTCCATAAATGTTAAAGGTCTCTAGAAATCTCTTTGTGCAGATGACATTGTAGTACTGGTTGCACTGAGCAGCAAAAGATAGCAGAGCCTCCTGGCAGAAATCCACAATCACTCAAAAGAGTTCACCCTAACCATCCATACAGGAAAAATCAAGTGGATGAATAAAACTTATTGCCCAACACAGTTAGATGGATAACCTATAGGGCTCATTCAGCCGTGTGTGTGTGTGTGTGTGTGTGTGTGTGTGTGTGTGTATTTGGGGGTACCTTGGACAGACTTTGAAGATGGACAATGAGTTGGGCCCAAAATAAATAGGATGGAGAAAGAGAATAATTGCAAAACTAATGACCCTAAACTTCTTCCAGAAACAAAGGCCCATTTTTTTTGGCTAGGCAATAGGGTTAAGTGACTTGCCCAGAGTCACACAGCTAGTATGTGTTGTATGTCTGAGGCTGGTTTTGAACTCAGGCCCTTCTGAATCCAGGGCTGGTGCGTATCCACTGCACCACCTAGCTGCCCCTTAAATGCCCATTTTTTTTAACAGCAGTATTCTATCAGTGGTTTTGTATGCCTGCAAGTCATAGAATGTTATAGCCTGACACATAGTAGGTACTTAATAAACGATCATTTCATTGAATTGAAATTAATTGAATGATAACAGAAAATGAAGAGAAAGCAGAGCCACTCAGCTCTTAATTTGCTTCTGTTTTCTCTGCAGAGGAGAATTATCTTTGAACTGGAAGGAGAAATTAAAAGAGTCACAGGATCTCAGAGTTGGAAGAGACATCAGAAGCCATTCAGT